CTGGCTGAAGTCGCGAGCCATTCGCGGCCGCTTCCAATCCCGCCGCGTCGGGCCTCGACCAGTCCGGGAAACAGTTCGCGCGATCGCTGTGCGAGTCGCCAGAGGTTTTCTTTTGGTGAAAGATACTCGGCTTTCCCTTTACTTCGGGCCTCATCCAGTCCGGGACATGGTTCGCGTGACCGCCGTGCGAGCCGCCAAAGATCCCGAACTGAACGACAGCCGGCTTCTCACCTGCGCCGGGCCCCAACGGGTACGGGAAATAGTCCGCGCGGCCGGCGTACGAGTCGCCAAAGTCTCCCTTTTGAGAGACACTCGGCTTTCCATTTGCGTCGGCCAAGCTCGGCGAATCCGTCTTCACCGGGCCCGGAACAGACGCGGTGGCGTCCAGCAGCTTGAGGAGCTTCCATCTCTGCAGTCGGACGCAACCTTCCAGGTAGAACAGGCGGCTTGTCTCCTTGTCATCCAGCAGCTGCTCATGCCACCCTGAAACATCACTGGTTGACACTCCTACGTAGCCATCCTCGGGAGGAACATACTCCCTATCGAAGGGCTGGATCGGGATTGTGTCTTCACCCTCGTCGTCGCTCGAGTCCGAGCTGAAGCTCATTTGTGAATTCGAGCCCCATGAGCTTCGATCACACGGTAGAGAATCTAGGTCACTGCCTTCGTCATCGCTCATGTTCGCATCCGCCATCTCATCACACGCATTCACGTCGGTTGGATTGGCGTTCGTGAGAGCACCGGCCTCGTCGTCTGTGGTGTAGCTCGGATTAGGGCCCGCAATGCTATCGATGATCTCGAGTTTCTGGACTGAAAGGGCGAGGGTGGTGACATTCTCTTCCGTGCGTGGTCTCTTCTTGGTTAGAGAGGGGAGGGTGTTGATATTGTCTCCCGTATATGGTCTCTTCTGAGCTGGAAGGGGGAGGGTAGGGATCTTATCTTCCATGCTGTCCTCGATCTTAACTTTCTTGACTAAAAGGGCGAGGGTGGTGACATTCTCTTCCGCGAATGGTCTCTTCTTGGCTGGAGGGGGGAAGGTGGGAATGTCATCTTCCGTGCGTGGTCTCTTCTTAGCTGAAGGTACGAGGGCAAGAGCAGGAACGGCAGACATTTTGTTCTTTTGTCGAGGTTTGAGTACTTGGTTTAGTAAACGGAGTTCTTTAGTAGAGTAAGGGTAGTTCCGTGGTCGACAGAAGAGAGCTCCTTGACCAAGACTTAAGTACTCGATATCGCACGGGGGTCGTCCATATAACAAGGATCATGCGAGAACAAGGGACTTGTGTGTGCCAGAACCCAAAGGCAAGAACAAAGGCGACGAAGAAAAAGCCTCTGGAAAACAAAGACAAGCCCTTTGATTGGAGTGGTGTGAGACCAGGGGCCGACCACCGAGCTCATCGCCTGCCTGGGACACACGCCGCAGATAGGACTCATTGCCTGAAACATCCCTCCAATGGTCCGGGACTTGGACTTCGAGATCGTCTTGTTCACCTTGTCCTTTTTGTCTGTCCCAACACTCTGTTTTGTCCTGATATTAGGCGTTTAGTTGATCCGGGGAATATCGCTAGCTAACCCCATTAAACCTATCGTCCATGCAAGGCTTACCTGGGGACAACTTGACAAAGGGGAGCCGGACTAATCTTATTGCTGAGGCTATGTTGGCGTTATTTGGATAATGTGGTGCTTTGTCCCCTTTGTGTGGTGGGGCGACGGGTTCGAGAAGTAAGTTGAAACGGTTCCGTACAACAAAAGTATTTGGAATCAAGCAAAGGAGGAATTCCTGATTCGGAGTAGCGTGGCACGTGGCTGGCAATGCTTCCAAATACTTGCCATTTATAGCCTAGTACTATCTTAATAAGAGCGCTACTAGAAAGGGTATAGGCTTGTTCGGACGTTTACCTGCTCTCGGGCCCTGATGTGGCACTACAACCAAGCCAGAGGGACCCTGAGGATGGCGGAGTGTTCGAATATCCCGCCACGACCTGCGCTGGCGTCCAGAGTCTGTGCACAACGGACCCAGGTGATGATGACGGTGACAGACTGTCTCCCTGGCCTGGAATACCAAGTTCCAAAAGCAAGGTTCGAAAGTACCTCATAGTTCGTGCGCAATCGTTTTTAGGTTGTATAATTTTCGGGGAAATTGCGCAGATGCGCCGCGTAGTCTCTACACTCTACACTTTCTGCATTGGAGGGGTATTCAGATCTCGGTCAAGGCGGATGTGGGATTCGACATGAGCCACGTATGTCGGCAACTGTCCCTTGCGTGTTTCACTACTGTCGTTCTGTCATGTTGTGCCGTTGTCATGTGGTGAAGCCGCCTTGAGGCTGCCATTGTCGTTGGAGCCGGCGGAATTGTTCGAGTTGGCCTTGGTATTCTCTCAACTCCACGTCGCGTCGGACGACCATCTGTCCTGCTCACTGGCTCCTCCATGGTCAGGGTGAATCGTGGTACCGTCGATGGCGGCCGCCCGTCTTCAACCAAGCGCACTCCTAGCAGACATTGATGTCCCGGCCCAACATATTCCTCTACTACATAGATATACAGAGCACCTAGGGTGGTGGATATTATATCGAGTTGAGGCTCCGTTTCGCGAGAAGGCCGTCTTTTGGCAGGCTCCTTGATGTCTTTCTGGGCGACTTAATCTCTCGGTCTTGTACAATCTTTTGATTTGTGTAGATTGAGGGTCTTTTGTTCGAGACACTTATCGAGGTAGACGAGCAGCAGCAGCGGTTCGGGAATCCAGGTCCTTGTTTGTTTGTTTGCCTGCGGATATCTCTGGACTTTTGCTTGCGAAATGCTCTGCTTGTTTATTTTGCCTCACAAAAAGCTTGATGGAAAGACCGGAAATACTGCTCCCTCTTTGAGCACACCCAGCTAGATGCAGCGCCCTGAGCTTCCTGCAAAACTGCGTAACCCCCTTTCAAGATTTCGGTACAACGGGAATGGGACAGCCTTGCTTTGTCATTGTGTTCGGTGTGCGAGAAATACTGTGCCATGCCGTCCACGTGCCTAGTAGGTATCAAACACGAACGCCGCTGTAGCGATAGCTCCTTGGTCCTGTCGGGCAGAGATAGGATGGAAGGAAAGGATCAGGTGTGAGCCGTTGGTAGTCGTCGTCGTCATCGTCATCGAGGGTTTCCCTCAGAGTGACCTGGCCTAGTGAGCGATATGCTCAATGTAAACACATCCAAGCCGTGCTGCGCTCGATTGTCAATTTAATATCGGAACTTGAGAGAATCAGTGTGTGAGCTTCACTCGCCACCCAGGAGTCACCACCAACCCCCTCTGGAGGCCGCCCTCCCACTGCCTCACCCTCCATCACACATCACTGAGAACCCCACTTTTCTTTCTTTCTTTTTTCAAGTGTTATCATTTATAACCGCGAAATTCCCAGCAACAATTGTCGGATCTGGCCTGCATCAATCTGTAACATCGAGTCAGGGTTTTCAAATCTCAACCACCTTGGTTTACATACTTCCAGATCTTGGCGCTGCCCATCAGGAATTGATAGCTGCAATCTGCATTGTTAACAACAATTACCAAAAGGCTCATAGCGAGAGAAGGGGGAGGGTAAATTATGGGGTTGAGCGCTCACGGAGGAAGAAAGAGGAGGAGGACGAGCAGGAGGGAACCACGACGGGAAATGAGAAGGGCTCCTAGAGTCCAGGAAACAAACAAAAAAAAAAAAACTGTGTCCATTGTACCAAGGGCTACAGTTTTCTCCCAAGTGGAGTTTTTTTGGTAGTTTTAATATCTAGTTATTTTTGTGTGTGTACATGTGAAGTTGTGACATACGCGAAGCTGTACGTGAATTGCTACTCCATAATATACCGCTAGTATTATCATTGCTGAGAGGCATAGGGCTTGGGATTTAGTCCCGGAGGATCTGGCTATACTCTCCAAGACCTTGTAACACAATGCGCACATACAATTCCCTAGGAGGTCGTTTAACTCTGTTGGTGGGGAGAGCTAATGAGTCTGCAACGTGGGACATAAATGCACTGAAACCAGATCGAGTAGTTTTGTCACGTTCAACCTCGAGCTCGAGCTCACAAAGAGGGAGTGTCTCGTGTCATCATATCATCATAATGACCTTCCGGGCAATAACGCAGTTCAACTTGCTCTGCAGAAGTCTTAGTAGACATACAGATGGCTGATCCATGTCAAAAAGCCAACTCTGCCGTACATGGACCACAAGCTCCCGGAGTGAGTATTGTTATTGCCATGTTCATTTCGCTCCAGGTCATGTGGCGGCTTGGGGCAATGCAAAGGAGTCCGAGCAGATGTGGTCCACCCAAGATGCGAATTGCAAAGCAGCGATGAATGTTTCCTCGCTGGAATCTCGACGCAGGCCTCAATTTTGGCCCACGTAACCTCGCACCGTCACCGCTGTTGCTCAGGCTAACTCCCGCCTCTTCATGCGTGGCTCAGTCTCAGTATACCTATTGAACAATAGTGTGTTCATCGGGTGGCACAGGGCGTTGGAGGCCAGGGTGTTCAACAACCGCGAACGGTGTGAGTTGCAGAATTGTGTGAAGGTCGTATGGGAGTATCCTGAGAAGTCAGGGCCATTGTTTCAGACGCCAACAGTATGACGTATGTAATAAAGAAGTTCTTGCTGTATGTACAGACTACAACAGTCAGACAATGCCTGAAGTCAGACGTGGACAAGATGAGTGTTGTCGGCTAACCTTCCTTCCTGTCAGTCGGAAATAACATAGTCCGTAGTCCGGCCGGTGTCATGACGTCAGCGTCTACGGCGCGTCCTTAATTATTTCCGTCTCGGTCTCACAAACAACTTGTCTGTCACCAATATCAGCTGCATCGCTTCTCAATCTCACGTTGGTGCAACCAAAGTACCGCGTGGCCAGAAGGCGAAATAACAAGCAGTTCATTTGCACCTCACGCTCCCGCGCCGCGCAGTACCTTGTTGCTGCGTCGACGTTCGTTGTCGCGCCGATATTATCAGTTCGCGCCACGACAAAGACCTCATTTGGCAAAAATGGCCTTCGTGAATGATTCCGCCGGGCAATCTTCCCCCTCTATTGATCCCCCACCGTCGCGCGCGGCCTCTGATTCACAAGTCGATCTCCCTCTCCGTGTCCAGAAGACCTTGGATTCTGAGCACACAATCACACCGTCGCAAGACACGACCACACCTCTCCAGCAAGCTGTGGGCCTGGATCAAACAGACGATGCTCGAAAATTTTTACAGTATTGTCTCGACGGCCACAACCTTGAGTTTCCAGACAGACCCCGCGAGTTCATCGTACCTGAGTCGTCCTTTGCCCTACTGCTCGAGGATTCTGAGTTTGAGTCTCTCAGTAGAGGGTATGCACACCCTTCTTCTTATGTGATCTCTATCAAACAAGATACTAATATCACCCCGCATGCTTAGATTCAGAATCTCATACAACTCCCACAAGTCAGTCCTCACTCTTTCACCTACGCCTGGCCGAAGACACGGTAGAATCATCGGATGGCTCGGTGATGTCGCCAAAGAGAAATTAGATTCGGCTGTCCGGCACAAACTCTGCATAATACGTGGCGAGGATATTGATTTCGAAGGAGAATGGGAAGGGTCACATAAAGAGCCAGACTTGGGTATCGCATGGATCGAGGACGTTGGTGGGACCGCCTTACACACTGTTGTCGAAGTTGGTGTTTCACGATCTCGTCAAAGTCTACTCAATTTGCGAGACCTGTACTTGAAAGGAACGTCCGACGTCTCCAGGTTGATCTTGGTCGATCTTGTCACGGACCCCGAGTACACAAGCCCCGTGGACCTCGACATCCGTGAACTCTGGGCCATTGACAGAGCGGATTTCCAATTAGATTCGGACCTGGGGCCACTTTGGTACAAGGGTGTCGAGTGGGTCGGGAAGAGCACGCTCGTCTGGGAAGTCTGGGAACGAAATCTGGACCACGGAGGAGAGCCGACGCAGATCTTTTCCGCAACCATTGAAGCCGGTGACTGCGAAACCCGACTTCCATTCTTCGAAATACCCGCCACGACCGCAACCGGTATCGAGGCTGTTACAATTGGGCCCGCGGATCTTCGCGTAATCTGGCAACATTGGTGGAAACACGCCATCATAGACGAGGCATTGAATCGGATGTGCAGCCATGCCCGAAATGCGAACAGACGTGGAAACAAGGCCGCGGAATTGGCGGGGGAGAAAGACAAGTCAGCCAAGAAGAGAGAAGAAGCTAACTAGGAACGCGCGGAGCGCGCACATCGTCGATCGCAACGTTGATTCCTGGACAAAAACGACACGCAAAAACACAGGTGGTGATGGATCTTATGCCCCGGTACGCGAATCACAGTCCTGGAGGCGGCTTTTTCAAGGCGACAGGAGATCTGATCACCACGCCTCACCTGTTTTTACAACAACAATAGCACGAGGTCTGGGTCAGGGTCAGGAATAGCCTGGCCGGCAGAGCTCACCAAAGTCCTTGCAGCTTTTCACAGAATCTCTGTCTCTCTCCTACTCTTGTATCTGGCATGTTCTTCCAACTCGAGGTCACATCAGAGCAACGTCGAGCCGCAGGAGGGAGTTGAGAGAGCGGGAAGATAACGAGAGGAGACAGAGAGAGGCACTTGCTGCATTTCACTACCACCCATAGGGTGAAGTCGTTCATAGAAAAAGGCCTGATTGACAGACTACTTTGCTCACCGCCGGTGGTAGAGGTGTAGAGGAAAAAAAAAAAAATGGAGCATATCGCCTCCGCGTATTCATGTCCCGCAGTAAAGTTCAAGTGACGAGGTCCTCTCTCTACTTCGCCCTTCCCCCCCAGAGATCGTGTGCCCTTGTGGGCAAATTCCCTAGTCGCCCATTCGCCCAATCAGCCCCTGATGATGCGGGCTCTAATTTCGCACCGACCAAACCGTCGTCGTCGTGGGCCATGATGGGCAAATCTTTCCAGCAATGTTCCGCGCTCTTTCTTCCCACGCCGTGTATTTTAGCCGCATCATGCTTGCCTCACGATCGTGTAATCCTGCCTGAGCAGTCCCGTCCAGTGGTTGGCCATACATAGTATTATCTAACCGGTTTGTCATTTGATTGGAAACCAGCCGATTCCATATTAACGAGAGGGGAAGGCTCTCTCTCCGGGAGCCAGCCTGGTCGATCACAGACGTGAACAGCCTCACGAGGCATTGGAGTCGATGAGGTTGTAAGATGGAGGGCTCAATCTCAAAAGGGTTGAGGTTGTGTCCGTGTGAACAGATCCCGCGTTGTAAGTGGCCAAGTGCCGAGGGACCGGGCTCCGTGACTCCGATCGTGGTCGACACAACGAGGATTCATTTAGGGGCCAGACGATAGTGCTGTTCAGGACAAAACAAAGAGAAATGGAAAATGTACTCGCTAGAAGAAGACGAAAAAAAAAAAAAGAGCAAGAGTGTGGGAGATTGATTGATCAGGATGCCGGGGAAGATGGGAGGGAACAAAGATTGATGGCCCTTCAAGGGTATTTTTAGATATTTTCTACCTTTTTTTTTTTCCCTTCCTTTTTTTTTTTTTTTTTTGGGGGTTGTTGGTTTACCAGAAAGAATATCCCACATCACAGGAGTATCTACTCTACAAATGCAAATGCAATACAATACAATTCACTGAACAGGTCCACAGGCCCACAGGTCAAAACACTTGAAAGTCATGGACCGTGTGTACCACACCACACCCACCCTGACTGCTTGTTTTCGTCTCCCCTCAGCCAGCAGAAATTCCTCCGTCGTGCATTCTGTGTCCATGTGCGAGCAATATTCCCCCCCCTCTTTCACCACCAAAAGCATCAACAAAAACTTCACTCCCAGGCAGAGGCCAATCCTTTCTGAACGAGAGCACGATACTCGGATGTCCTAAAATAGTCCGCGGGATATACGGATCCGGAGGGGGGATTGAGCCTTGGGACTGGCCAGTGCTCATACGGAGTGACATTTAATAGCATCCGCGCTTTGCGTTCAGTCTTGGTCACTTGTATGCGTCGTTCGAACCTCTCGTCTCTATCCACAAACAAGACCTCCTTGACTTGCAGATATTTGAGGAAGAATTTAGTAGCCGCCCTCCAGTGCTGTTTAACCACCATGTCGTCTCGCTGTCTAAGCGGCATCTCCAAGCACATTCGAGCGTAGAGGAGTCTACGCTCTGTGTGTGCCAAGAAATTCTGAAACACGACAAGAGGCGGCAATGAGATAGCCTCAAGTTTCGATCTTCGGCAAACATCCTGAGCTACTGTCGCCAGGTTGTTATATGCGGCCTCAATGCGGAGAACTTTGAGGGCCTCCGGTAGCTTGGGAAAAAAGTCGGAGGAGGACACTACCTCCCGTGAGAGGCAGAGTTCTTTCAATCCAGTCAGTGCCGCCAAGTCAATGACTCCAGTATCCATACCGGCTTCATAGCAGTAACGGCGATGGAGATATAATTTCAACAGCTCGAGACGCGGTTGACGACGAGCCAGTATTACCGCTAGGCCATTGAGCGCGTCGGTCTGCATGCTGTTTAACATGGTCCACGGAGAAAAAATGGGCACTTCCAAATCATGGAGGTACTCGTACTCCAGGGTCTCGAGTGCTCTAGGCAATCGCAGGATGGACGCGAGAGCATTTGGGGTCAAACCCCGAGCCCCTAACAGGACCAGATGTTTCAACGGCGTGGAATGAGGTATCGGGAGCGAGTCATCATCGTCATGAAAGAAGGGTACAGAAATTTTCAGCGTCGTGAGCTTGGGTAATTTGAGCAAAGGGTTGATGCAAACTCGATGGCCACACATGCCGACCAACGTGCACTCGCGCAACTCGGGAAAGGCACTCGATGCGAGCGTCGGCTCGAGGGCGGCGAAGAGTGACCAATCTCTGGAGCTAGGTCCCACAATGTGCAAGACCTTGAGCTTGCCGAATTTGGGAAGATCACAGACCATGTTGTCGTCGTTCGAGTTGTTCCGCAGACGGTTAGGAAAGACAATGAGACGATTGACTAGGTCATATCGGTGCGGATGTTCCATCAACACGCGAGTTAATTTATCAGCTTGATCTTGGTCGGCATAACTGAGAAACCGGAAAAACGCAGGCTCGGACAATCTGTGTAATGCTTTGCATGTCTGCCGAACCTTTCTGACGTGTTGTCGATTTGCTGGGAAAATGTCGCTGTCCAGTAAGTCGATAATATCCAAGAGGATTTCCGTGGGGAGCTTGAGTAGTGTCAGCGGTCTTTCGATGCGAGACTCCATTCCGTTTGGGTAGAATTGCGGGTGCAAGCGATGGATAAGAAGTTGTGATGAGAAGAAGATGGATTCGGGAGGAAATGATTCGATATTTATGGAGGTCGTGGGCAAAGGCTTTGCCAGGGCAGTTGAGACACAAGGCTGTGAGTCATGAATGAAGTTTGCAGGCAATGTACACAGGCAGTGCGTTTGTGTGCGTGAGCAATGCCCTGATTCACTGGCCAAAGCAAGCTCCGTTCTTTGTCGACTAGAAAGAAACTATTTCCGTTTCCACTCTTGAATGCCTGTTTTCTTTTTCCGAGACTCGGGGAATGGCCATTGTGCACATTCCCTTTAATCTCACAAATGACCTTTTGTTGTGAGCTTCTCCTTTGACCTTCAATAACCACCGATTGAGTCAATGCCACCGACTTTGGCTATGGCGATGTTGTTGTGCATCGAGTCAGTCGGACTTTGGGCGCCACAACTGTCCGTCCTTTCGTAGCTGCTTCGTGACATGCGAGGCACTGGGTCGAATTCGGGTACTCGGCGGACCCGTCGACAGCGGGTAGTAGTAGCGTGCTGGTCGATCTCCGCCAGGCTGAGGTGTGGCTTCATATCCATTTGACAGAAAGCAAGAAATCGCTCATGGCCAGCTAAACTGCACGGAGAACTCAGCACTCGGAGCCAACCACCGCTGGCCAGGAAGGAGGTTTCCCTCTGTACATACCTGCACCGCTTGCGTCTGATCAGATGTCAGTCTTCGAACCCGCTGTGTGTCTTGAATCCATGAGTTATTACACAAAGAACTGTACAAGAACAAAGGTTACCTACACAGCTGACTGCGTGGTTTTGCCAAAGCGCGCCGCGGGGCTCGCGCGTCAACGGAAACGTAAGCGCCATTTCACGTGACCATACTCCGCAATAGTTACAGAGGAAGGAGGCCATGGGCTGCAAGCTGCAGGTTGCAGAATGCGGGATATGGGATACGGGTCAACTAAGATTAAAATCGGCCCTGTACCTGTTCCTCCCTCTCGCAGTTGATGAAACAGTCCAGAGAGATTTCCCAACCTTGTACGAGCCAACCAAGTCCGAGCTGTGTTCGTGTCCTTGGAATCGAACCCATTGCAGACCCGACTCGAGCTCTCCGAAGTCATGTGGGCATGGCTCTTGTATTGCACGTGGGCGAATAGTCCTTCAAGAGTTGTATAATAGAGGGAAGACGTTGACAACCCCAAACGCCTCGATCCAAGTTGCCGCAAGGACGAGCCTGTGCACCGAGCCGTTTAACAGCACATGATTTCTGCATGGTTCCTGGAGCCTCCGGCATCATTGCCATTGCCGTTGCCATAATAAGGTTCCCATCATTCAACCCTTTTCCCCACCCTGCTCGTCTTGGTCAACTGTAGCCACAACGGCCCAATACTCAGACTGGCCTCCAACGGCGGAGCGGAGCGAATTAGATCCAACGAAACCGCCTCCTCTAGGCCGGCAAAAAAGGGGTGTCCAACGGGACGGGAATCTTGTATCGGTCTCTGTTCCGGCTCATCAATAAATATGTCTCGTCGGGATACCATGCGTCGTCCGGCAGATGTGCTGAAAGGTCCTCGAGTGATAGTACCAATGTGGACGTTGAATCAGGAAATGCCCCTGGTTTTGCTTTCCCTACCCTCTGAATGTTCGGTATCGCCAGGCTATCGCTCTGTCGATGATATGGTATGGGAGGAGCGATGTGAATGTAGAAATACTGCCATGGCATACATAGCCCTATGACAATACTACCTATCCGTCACCTCCTAGCACTTTTGGGTCCTTCTGGGCTTCCCGAAGTATGTCCTTCATCGCAGAATAGAGCCTCAGGTCCGGTTTCTTCCACCTCTTGTCGTTTGGAAATACCTTCTCCCGCAGCCTATTGACCCATCGGACCAATGGCTGGTAGTACGGTGTGAAGTGCGTGCGCGCGATACTGACAAAATCAACCTCATCCCCTATCGTACCTCGTTTCAAGTCCGCCAGATTTTGATCATCCATGTAATTCCAATGGTCATACGTAGATGACTTGACTGCGGTACCCGGCCCTGTATAGTGGATGCATAACCAGAAGAGCACCCAGAAGAATGACTCGAGGTCATGCATGAAAGAATGCTGCTCGCCTAGAAGCGCCCCTATCGCCATGAACGCCCTCGTGCCGGCCTTGTGTTTTGCTCCAGAGGCGGCTTCTCGTGGCACCTGGATGGCAAGGTCAAGATCAATCAAGAAAGAACGCTGGGAGGGGTTGTTCTCGTCCTCGTTGATCATGAGATTGTTGATCGAGATGTCTCGGTGGAGAAACCCAGCCTTATACAAGGATTCGTGGCCACCAATGCAACCCTCCAGTGCAGCAAGGAGAGCCGATCGGGAGCTCGCCTTGTATATAGACTTCCCATAGTCACGAAGGACGACACGACGATGTACACGATTGGGTATTGTTTCGTCGCGAGCGTTCGTTGGAGATATCGAACAAGCCCGCTTGCTGGAGGGCAGGAGGGCGAGGACGTGACTGGATGATCGCTTCTTGCCGGCTGGGCGGCCGCTGGTGCTTTTGCTGCGACCTCTCGACGAACCCCTAGCCGCGGTGATACTCGGTGGCGGCATGGAAGGTTCCGGCCTCAACGGGTAGTTCGTAGCTGTGGCGACGTCGAGCCCGCCGCGCACATTGCCCCAAATGTCGTCATCTTTTTTGCCCACTTGGACAGTCTCGTGGTGATAGTATCGGGCCACGTTGGCAACATCTTGACTGGTTGCTTCGCGTAACAATTCGCCTTCCTCATCACGTTCGACATGTTGCCATGAGTCTTTGATGACGAGGGGTGTCTCTGGTTGTCCTTCTCGATAGGCTTTCCAGCAAGTCGTGGCCCTGCCAGCTGTGCGGCGTGTGCGTAGCATCAATCGGTCAATCATGACACGCTCTGTCGAATCATTCCGCTGGATCTCGATAAATCGTTTACCATCTGCGCCCGTCATGATTGTGGGATCAAGGCCAAGCTCCTCCTCACTCATGAGGGTAAACCCGATGATCGTGGACACAAAACGCTCCCCATCCTTGTTGATGTCGAATTGTTCGGATGCGATCCCCCCGAGCCGGTCAAACTCCCATATCCTCATGAGTGACCCGCAGAGGGTAAAGCCCAAGACGAAACGACGGTTGTCTTGAGCAGCGAGCACTTCTCTGGCGTACGTCCCAAGATCAAGCCACGCCTTTCCCGGCGCGTCGGCCGATGGATTGCTCTTCAGCTCGCCTGGTATGAGGATATCCCACCAGGTATGTCTGAAGCCTTCTTCGGTCTTGGGGCAAGCTAGGAAGGCGACGTCTAACTTGCGATCTGCAACTGAACCCTGTACGACCTTGTTGGGTTGTGCCAGTAGCCATCGTGGGTGCCTCGGGAGCGTCTTGTATATTTCTGCAAAGTTGACCAGTTTCTCGTGCACTCTTCTCAACCAGCGCAAGACGTCTTCTTCTTTTGCATCTCTCGGCCATTCGATCCATCCATCCTTGAAGAGTGGTTCGTTGCCTTCTTTACACTTCTTGAAGACAGCTGCGGATATCTCCTCGAGGTCTGCCACGCGCCCAAAAAAAGCCTCGTGAAATCGAGGAAGCCCGACGTAAAGAGCGCCGAGTTCTTTTTTGAGCACTCCGTCCACATTGTCGCGGAGCTCGGAGGTATTCATCAAGCTGCCCGTTGTCTGACGGAATGGGGTTTGGATAGGAGGGCATCGCGACGTCGTGGGCGGGGTGATTTCGGTGACGGCCTCGTAGACTCGGTCCCAGATGAGCGCATCATCAGGATCGTCGGCAAGGGCTGCCTGTAGGAGAGGCTCGATGCGGTCGAGGTCGAAATAGTTATCGGCGATCGTTCCAAACAGTCTGCGCAGGTCGGAATCAAGGCTCCCACAACCTGTCTTGGAACGGAGTTGGCTTGCGAGCGGCAGTAGTCGTAGAGAGATAAGAAGGGATTCCGCAAGTATTCGGATTACTACGTGTAAGTCAGAGGAGCGCAGGAAAACGAAGCTGGATCATCATGCCTCCTCTGTCAAGTTGGCCCAGCGCGTCCAAGGTGCACGGAATCTCCTTGTCTTTGCAGCTGAGTTCAAACGTAACGCGAACGCGATGGAAGACATCCTTCCCAATAGGATTGTCCTCGATAATCTTTGCCTGCTCTTGATCGTCCATCGCATCCGCGATGGTGTCGAGGTGGCATCGAGGGGGAAACCAGTCGCAACAAGGTGAAAGATGCGCCGCGCGCGCTATGCGTGGTCGTAGAAATTATTATCAGGCTCCAGTCGCCAAGACCACTTAGCAAACACGTAACCTAGAAGAACATTCCTCCGACAGCCAAAACTTTCCAACTCACCCCGTGATTCGGAGAAATCTTTCTCCGCCGCTCAGTCATCAACACAAGTAACTTTCCTTGTCAGAATGCTGGGGAATCCAAAGTCCTCCCGTGCCCATGCATTATTGAACAAATGCAAGGCAACCTAGAACCCGGGCAATCTGCGCACGATTCGACAGGATGAATCACATCAAGACGGATTATTGAGAACTGTTCAAGTAGCGTCGCCCTGATTGCGTCCGCGGAATTCCCTTGTTGTACTGTCTCACAGTGCCTCCGTTTCCGCCACTGTCACCCACTGAGCTAACAACACGTTGCTACCGCCGGCCCCATTCCAGGCAACTGTCTAGCTCGCGAATGAGAGCGGCTTCTGGTTCTGGGATTCGTTGATCCTCGCACCACCCCGATGCAAGCCATTCAACCACAAAAGAAGAGCAAAGCCAACGAGGGTATCACAGGGGGCAGGGTCGGGTAGCAAAGCTGGGGATGGATGGTTGCAATTGGTCGACTTCAACCAGCCCTTTGTTTCAAGCTGCTTGAAATTTTGCAGCTTCCGGTCGTATTGGAAATGTTCTCATTGGATGTATGATCGTTGTTGCGTCGACAAAAGTGCCCTCACCCCCTCGTCCAGGACTATATAAGTCTCTCTATCTACCCAAACCACCTCGCATCCTTCTGCACCACAACTCTTCTCTACTCCTCGCCCATTTCTATCGCATTCTCTCGTCCCACAAATATTCCCACACATATTCCCACATTGCAAACTTTGTTCCTCATCAGCCATGACCTCTGCAAGTGGACATGAGGGTCCCAACTCCTCCTCCACCGCCGCCGCTACCATTTCCTACCCAAGCGGCCAAGTGCAACCACTTGCCAGGTTGGATTTGTTGGACCAAGTTGTTTCGGGTAAGTCACTTGACCTGACTGACTACCTCCGGAGAAAGAACCGGACTCCAACTAATCTTCGATGAAACCAGCTCTCAGTCAGCAGACAAACAAGGTCCAGGCCCAGCTCGACGACAAGACGCGGGAGATCTGCGAGCAGCAGCACCTGTCAATGCGGCGCAGCGACGGCGTCGCCCGCCGCATGGACGGCCTCGCCACGTGTCTCGAGAGGTCGTCGCTCTGTCACGAAGACGCGGCCCGCCGCCTGGACACCATGACTCAGTTCGTGAACACCTTGAGTGCGCGTGTCGACGCCGACGGCAGGAAAATCGACGCACTGTCCGGGGCACTCGCCGACACAAACCAGTATATCAGGGGCGTGCAAAACTTGGCGCACGGCCGCATGAGCTCCCTCGAGGACAGAACCAGGAACGTTGAGCGCCAGGTCCATGGGGACAGGGCAGAGCCGCTCGCGCCGCCTCCCGCGCCCATGCTCATGGCGGCATCTATGGCGACGGAGCATCCAGCAGCGCCTGTGCTGTATCATCCTTTGCCACTCCCTGCAACGTCTGCACCGCAGCTTCCGGGGGAGGGTCCCGAACATCTCCTTCTGCAACAGCCACTGCATCGTCCAGTGGCGAGTGAAATGGCACGTTTGCCAACATTGACGAGCCCGCGCGAGGCCTGTGAACCCCCTCCTTCCTCGGATATTTCGGAGACGAACCCATCTCGCCAGGGCCTGAAACCGGGTGGTCCATTCCTTTGTGGTGCGAACAAGCCGTCCGCTCCGGCCTTGTAGACTGGCCCTGTCGCCGAGTCCTTGCCTGGCTTGGGAGAGGGCCACACCGCCGAAGTCATCAGCATCGGCATGTTTTCCTCAACCCCTCCTTGTCCTCGTCCTCCCTGTTGGATTTTCTCACAAACTGACGAAAGAGGAACCTCCTATAGACACTTTCGAATGAAAAACCCCCTCGGTTCCCCGTCTCCACTCTCTCGGTGTCGGTCTCGGCCCTGTCCCTTCGCGGTGCCTGCGGTACATGGCAACGATACCATGTCGTGTCATGTCCGGCCCGGCGTGGTCTTTTAGAAACAAAAGCAGGGAATGAGAAGGGAAGAGTTATGCATACATGCAGGACGCGGACGACAAGTTGTCTCTGCCACTGCTCCCTGTGCATATTCGTGTTGACTTTCATGGTTTTTGTGTCATTCGGAGGAATACACCTCGGGGGTCTCGGAAGAGAAGAGAAGGAAAAACGCAAGGGGGTATAGTATGTATGATGTCGGATATCGTTAGTGTTGTTGAATCTGGACTTTTGATCAGCTCGAATCAAGTGCCCCTAGTCTTTATCTCTACGAACATCGCGCGATTCGCATGACTTGATGCAATTGTAGCATAAAGGACAACCCCAGGAGGCTACGCAGTCGACAGCGAGCTCATTTCGTAGGGAGTGACCGGCCTTGTCGCGTCGCATATCCGCACACACACGCTGCCATATGTGAATCATGACACCGGAGTCAAGTCTGTCCGCCTTCTCGCCTCCCTGCCCTTCCTGCCAGCCTGATATTATGCAATGGCGTAGCACGGCGCGAGAAAATGCCCTCTATCTTGAAAATCGACTCGGTGCTCACAGCTCCCCAGTCAGACCTAGTCAATAAGTAGAAAACCAAAGGAAGGAAGTCAACATGGCTGCGGGGATCGGCTGAGCAGAGTGCAGCAGTAGAGCAGGAGCACAGTACAGTACAGCGTAGCACATTCTAGCAACCAATCTTGTGTGTTGCGGCGTGATGTGGTATAGAACGGTGTAGTGTGTGTGGCGTGGTGCCGCGTGGTTCATTGACAGACAGACTGCCATTGGAAGAATAAGGGGCCAAGGGCGCCAAGGGCTCGAGGCCCAAAGAGTACCCCGGAGAAAGAGTGCAAACAGCTCCTAGGCGCTTCTGTAGGTACCCTTCTTTACCCTTAAAAGGTATGCCCAGACGCTCTGTACACCCCCCTTAGCCTCAGTGCCTCCGTACCCCCAATAATCGACAAGTGCAAATTTACCAAGGACAAAATCAATTGTAGAGCCAATTCAAACACGCTCAAGATAACAAAAATCGCAAAATGTAAAAATGACAAGTAAGAAATCAACACCAAATCAACAAATGTTTAGCAAAATTCCGGCAGACTCTCCAGCCTACACTCTACAATGCCACAAGTACGGTAGGAATGGTAACTAGTCAATCAATCGATCAATCAATCAGTTATTCGTGGGAACAAGGGGATAGAAATGGAACGGGATGGATGAAACCGCAAAGCATTTATTCTTCTCTTCATGTCTGCCATGTCTACTAGTAGTCCTTGACTCGACTGGCTTTGACCAGCAGCGACGCGCACGGGCCTAACAATTGCAACACTGACATGGCCTCGGCCGAAGGTAATTCTGCTTGAAGATGGTCAGGTCGTTGCGCCCAAACACCGTCGGCCGGTAGAGGTAGGCACACGGAGCCTGGTGGGCCTGCGCCTCGATCTTGTCGTTCAGCGTCTGGTCCCCGTCCTGGAGGCAGGACCATCCATTTTTGTGAAACTCCATGCGTCGTGACAAAACTGACCACCTCTCGGTGACGACGACCCGTTTGCAGTCCGTGAATCGGTCCGTCAACTTTCTCAGTGCACGGGTCTGGCGGACGATGTGTCTGGCATCGCCGTCGTCCTCGTGAATGACGAACGACGTCCAGGGATTGTACTCGATATAGTGCTGGTAATCGAGGTCGATCTTGATGTTTGGGGGACACGAGAAGCGCTGGTCCTGCGTCGAGAGGTCGAAGAGTTTCTTAACAAAGACCTCTTGGGAGATCGGGCCGTTGAACCGAAGAGTCTGCAACGTAGGAGGGAGGTTGACGAAGCAGTTGACCGGGCAGACCCCGTGGTTCGAGAAGCTCAGTTCCTGCAATTGCTGGAGCGAGCGGAAATCAAGGTCTCCCGTATGTCGAGACACGGTGTAGAGACACGACGAGACACAATACACCTTGAGCGTCTTCAGGCCGGGTTGCAGGGAGCCCAGGGTCGGCAGTGTCGCGCCCAGGATGCCGGGGAAGCTACTGTCTGGCAACCTGTGGCAACTGTCGTCAATGGCCAGAGTCTCCAGCGCCGTGGGCATGCCCAATATACATGCGAGGACTTCCAGGTTGGCGAACGGAGAGACGAACAGAGTCAGATGCTTCAAAGGCGTCGAGTTGCGACGTGGAAGGTCCGGGTCCTGAGGGTCGACGTAAGGATACGACACAGCCAAGGAGCTGAGACACGGGCTTTGGAGGATCCGCTTGATCGACACGGGCCGCTCCACCGCCGAGATGATAGTGCATACTTTGAGCCTGACGAAGGTGCTGACGGTGATCGCATTGCTCAGCACGGAGAAGAATTCGTCGTTGGACTCAACCATGAACTCGCTCAGCCTGATTCTATCTCCGATCGACAACGTCTCAGTGATATGCAAGACCTCAAGATGGGGGAGCCGAGGAAGAAGCCTGGCCGTCGCTTTCAGGCTCTCAGCAGGCCACGCGTATTTGGGGTACGCAGCCACAGTCTTGACGTACGCACATCGTTCTGGTCGGGCCTGCAGGAGTCTCTCCATCCCTGTCGACCGTACACCCGAGGTGGTAATGAGGGTTCGACAAAACGCCGGCTCAGCCACCTCGGCCGTTCGTCGACAACACATCCGGAGTGCGTGGACGGTCCTAGGGCTGTCGTACGACACCAGGTCAACGATTTGGCGTAGCACATTGTCACACAGTCCCATGAGGCACGGGTTGGGCTTTTCAAAGTTTGACACGATGAGGGTCCTTGGTGTCACCGCCCGTGGCCCTGGGGTGGTCTCTCTCGATGAAATGACCATGATGTGATCATCATCCTCGACCGCCTGGAGAAGATGAAGTAGGGGGTTACGTCTCCTGGAGGGTGTCGTAGGTGTGGTCGAGGAGGTCTTGGAATGCACCTCCAAGGAACTCCGGGGTTGTCTTAGAGCCGCAGGCTCGTTGGCCCGTCTTCGTATACGTCGACGCTTCGGCACGGGCTCTTGACCAGACTCTTCACTATCCGGTGAGCTGGACTCTGGGATGGTCAGAGTCTGGCACCTCATCCTGTCAGCCTTGGATGGTATTGCTACCCAGGGCTTGGAAAGGTGTCGTAGGCGGAGATAAGATTTGTCCTCCGAGTGGATGGTGAGGCTGGGCAGGTTGCAGCTGGACAGGAAATCAACAACGATGGACTGACTGATTGACTCGAAGACGAGGTCCTGTTGTCGTGACGAAATTTGAGCCCCGGGTCAAGCAAAGAACCAGAGAGTGCGAAAGAGAACTGGAAAGAGAAGAGGAAGTTGAAGCAGAAGTAGGGTGACAGGAGGAGACATGGCGGACAAGTAGGTTTTAGAGGCGGTTCGCGGCTACGACCAGCCTGGCCGTTGAGGGAGACAAAACGACCAGGTGGGCAATGGCTTTACCCCTGGGCTTCTGCCTCGCAACCTCCACACTTCCAACTTCAACTCCCTGTGGGCCTGAAGACCCATGACCCTTGTATGCATGGCCAACTGGATGCTTGCATAAAATTTTGCGGCAGCAGTTGGTGTAACTGTCACTGTCGGAAGCGCCACGTGATGGAAAGCCAGACCCTTATACGAGACTTGCTTCTGGCAGGCCCTCTTAGCGTAGAGTTGACCCCCAGAACTTACAGGGTGAAGGAAATCAATTTCAGTTGGACCCCCGGAAGCGAGCGAAAGAGATTTGCGGATAGACTCGCCGAAAGTGAGACCTGAGCTAAGTAACACATGGCGATAAATTTAGGAACAGTTCTGAGCATGTAGAAAAATATGGGTGAGACGAGGTAAGAGATTTAAGCGTGGGAAACGAGGAGGAGGAGGGTTCAGTTTGGAGGGAGATTCTCTTAGAAGGGAAAGAGGCGGAGTAGGCGCTGAGATTGGCGGTCAGAATAGGCGGTGAGGGTTTGGGGGAGGCGGTGCCAGAACAGAGCGTAGCACAAGAGGCAGAAGAGGTCTGGAGCGTCGTTCCTAGTAGAGGGCTTAAGTGGGTAACCCGAGTGTGCCGCATGTTGCTAAGACAGTAACCGCCGCAAGAAATGTGATTCATGCAAGGCGGGGAACTTTTGCCCATCACTTCCATGCGGCTGACCCTGGCAACGGTGCTTTTTACATCCTGACTAGAGGCTCCACCATTCCATGTCCAGTTCCAACCCTTTAATTGGCCACCTTCGATTCCCCTTCACACCACCAACACAAATTACAGCGTTTCGAACTGTGCTGCAGTTAACATTGGCACTGTTGGAATCACACGTTGTCATGCGGCTGCCTTAGCTTCCACCACCTTTGCCGACTTTCTGAAGATTCCTGTCCAACTTTTCCCATCTCACATTGCCAGGGACTTGGACTTGACCGAGGCCCGTCTTCTCGTTGGTGAACCAGACATTGCATTTTTCCACTTGTCTGCCATGGCTAGCAATCGAACGCTATCTAACAGGTATTTTGGCTGCCCAGAAACACTCATTTCAAGACATGGACAAATTCAATTGACAGGTGGCGGGTAGCGTCTCGCAGTCAGTGGCTACAGAACTCCTCTCAGATTCGGTCCTTCTCCCCGAGAAGCCCTCCAGATCTCCCAGGCTGGTCCGCATCGGATATCCCTGGATATGACCTCCGGACTGCGTGGAGGAACCATCCCATAGGCGCGCGAGAGGGTGGGTTGTCAGGCATGGCTGGTCGAGTATCCCAGAGTTTAATTCACGTCGCTTTCGAGACATAGCAAACGCAAATAATCTTCGCGACACGTCAAAACACCCTTCTTGCGCCATGGGTATATTCAACATTCGAACATGCCCTATCTTCCATCAGACATATAAATCTCACACGGGGACGATTAGGAAGCAATCCTTCGTCCATGCTCACACTGGTTGCATGATCGTTTAGTGCATAGGTGCCTTCTTCGCGACCAGGTCTCGTCCGGTCGTTACTATTCAATATCTCCATGCAGTGCCGCGCCAACAACATTCCCATGGCTCGTAAGGTCTCGTTGACCCCTTCTATCCAGTACCAATGTACCCCGGACTTCAACGGTCTGTCATATGCCTCTTCTAGAAATGAATTTTGGCACGAGCATATCAAAATGGAAATTGGGCATATCGGCACGACAAAACCCACCGGCCTGGACAGTGATCAAATGCGGGTGCTCCGTATCAGCGGGCGGGTGGATAAGTTGCTGGCGGTCTTGCGATAATCAGATTCTTTCCATGTGCACGGCGAGGACGCTTTGCGGCACATGAAAAGCGAAGTCCACGGCTGGGTCATGGGGGAGGTCCGGAAGTTCAAAGACCAGCGCGATGATCGGACACTGTGTGAGGCCGCCCTGACCTGCTACGACGGACCCGTCCAATTCTTGCACAAAGATGACTGCTTGGGCAGTGTGGGCGAGTTGGTCGAGGCGATGCTGAAGGCGTGGTGCGTCAGAAATGACGGCAGCGGCTTTCTCAAGTTGGCCGAGTACGGCGACCGGTCTTTCACCTTCGACACCAAAGAGATGTCCATGGTCAACCTGTACATCACCGGTGCCGACACGCCCTGTCGTTATGCAGACTGTCCTCCAATTCGTTCCCTCCTTTGCCTTCTGAATGTCCGCCGACATTGTTCCGTTCCGATGGTACAGCACGGCATAACGTCGCTGTCGACGAGGGAGCCTTTGAGGTCGCTGCTTCATTGATACCGCCATCCTTTTGTAGATATGGGCCCTCTTCAACGATATCGAGGGTTCTTTGTTTGGAATCTTGCTCTTTGGGGAAGACTGCAATGTCGATTTTTCAATAACAACCCCAATTCCGTGCCATCTCTCTCCGCTTTTCTGTAGTCAGCCGCAAAGAGCAGAATCCCTGTCGTAGTGACCTCTTCAAGACTACTGTTGAGGATGAAGACACCGCAGCCGTTCCGTTTTTTCGTTTGGCGTGACGGCCCTCGTCTCGCTGTTCGTTCGCAGCGCCGGAAGCAACAACACCAATCCCGAGACAGGCACTGGGACCAATCCCATTGATCTTATGTTGAGATTGCCGGTCTGTCTGTCTGTCTGCCTGCCTGCCTGCTGCCTGTAGAGATATCTGGTGGCACGGTGATGGGGAGGAAGGGAAGAATATTGATAGAGATAGAGATATGGATGAAAAGGGGGATATAGAGAGGGTGGCTAATAACCTGTAATGACAGGCCTCGTGTAGCACAGGGGCCCGCAGAGCTGGGGGGAACCGATGAGCTGGAAAGTTGAACTATAGGGGCTCTATCTATCCAGAAGTTGAGACTCCAAGGGGACCAAAGTCGCCTAAGGAATAATGGACAAATGTTCCAGCCAGCCAGCGTCCAAAGGCTACCACAGCTAGAATGCACGGCTACCACGGCTACCATGGTTACCATAGCAGGAACCCTGGCATTCCAGGTGCCCTCAACGAGGTTTCGAGGTAAAACCCCTCACCTAAATAGCTTCCCCAGGCACTTATGGCGCCCCTATCGCTTTTTGAACCACATGTACCCATCGTCAATATTCGCCACGCTGAAAATCAACCGACCCTTTGCCATGCCTGCACGCACTCTCTCCTTTGCACCTTGCATTGATACGTATTCAATCTGCCTCTACTTTACCAGCAATTATCACTCGTTATGATCATTGCTTCGATCAGATGAGTGTGGTGCAGTGTAGTGCTGTGTAAAGAGTGGTGTTATATTGCACCACACCACTGAATTTGTGAGCTTGAGGGCGCTGTGAGCGGGCAGCTTTGGGGGTTTTTTGCGCCCCTCAAACTCGAGGTACTGGGGTGGCTTGCACAGGCGTATAGCACCCCTACATGGTAGCCTGCCGCAGCGTCCTGCAAATATTATTCGGAGAGGTTTCTGACCCGTCACCAGCCTGTATCACCACAACCACACGGTATAATTTTGTGTTTTTTACACTAGGTGAATCTGCTTCCGCAGCTAAGTCGATTGATACCGGGAACGGCTTCGTGAAGTGAATAAAGAAAAAGTTTGATGGTGAGTTGCCTTTGTTCAACTGTCATTGATACAACCATCAGGCTGACGGCGAATTCGCCAATCAGAGGTCGCGATTCACGAAATGGTCCGTGGCCGAACATGGAAAACAAAGCCACCGAGCGGGCAAAGCGCCTTTGCCCATGCTATTGTGTGATACCAACAAGCAACTCCAACTGCCTCGCCTTTTCATTATGTGGTATGGCACCGACGAAGAAAGTGAAGGCGAAGATAAATACCTCCCACTGCCTCGCACTCTCTCTCTCTCTTCCAGGCAGTGGTCTCGCGACGTCTTGATAAGGAGGAACTTTCCGTCCTTCTTGTCCTCTTCTTCTTCGTCAGAGCTGCAATGCTCTCTCGACCGCCCAGATGGCTTCGCCTGCCCCTGCGCCACTCACGCGCAGCAATCTCCGAAAGCTCCACAAGATGACAGCCTCTGCCGGGCCAGCCTCCGGCCCCTTCACACGCCCATACGCCGCCGCCCGGGCCCCAAAGCTTGGTCAGTCGTATCGCGAGGCTGAAAGACGCCGATTTTGTCATGCTTACCTATTTACCGCCTGCGGAGATTGAGGAGCGGCTACAAGTCATCTGGGCGCGCCCACAGTCTGACGAGAGAAGACAAGAAGTCGCCAACATACCGGACTAAGCGACGAGCCTCGGCCGCGTATCCCACCACTACAGCGGCATCCACGACGCTCGCAGCCTCTGCACTCATATATATATATAACACGAAACAACGCAACCTCCGACGCAGCCTCAGAAGCCACAGCGCCTCTCCAAAGATCAGCTCGGCTGAACCCTTCGCCTCTTCCTGCTGCTCCTTTTGCCCCCAAGGCTCTGCCCTCTGGGCCCTGACAATCCTTTCCCAGACGTTGTGTTGGGCTTCCACCCCTGGGAAATACGCCAAGTACAAGCTCTGTGTGGCCTTGCGGAATCAGTTGTAAAAGCATACCTGTTCAACCTGAACATTGAAAGAGAGCTCTGCTTCACACCCACTCAGGAGTCAGACATGACATTTCGATGTTCATTCCTCGTCATCGAAGGCAAGGCTCAATCAGACATATGGGTTTGCCACAGCGTCGATCCGGCTGCTACCTTGTCAATTACTGACAAAAACTCAATGGTGATGGGGTGGTACAAGGACAACGTTCTGACGCAGGTCGCACATGGCATGTTTTCAAAGTACTACGAGCGGTTAGAAAAACGGGCCGAGGATAAGAACGATGATGACGTGGAGGAACTTGATGAGTGAAGGACCCCTTGAAGATTGTTGTCGATGTGACTTCTCAGGTTTCATTCGTCGACCACATGGTTCCCTTCAGGATTCATTCGTCGACCAGTGGTTGCCTTCAGGATTCATTCGTCGACTACATGGCTGCCTCAGGATTCATTCGTCGACCACATGGCTGCCTCAGGACTCATTTATCGACCACATGGTTCCCTCAGGATTCATTCGTCGACCAGTGGTTCCCTCAGGATTCATTCGTCGACCAGTGGTTGCCTTCTGGCGTTGGTAGGAGTCTTGTGCGCATATGGCGGGGCTCCATTGAGCCTCTCTAGATGGGTCTCAATGTTGTGTCGGAGCTTGATCAAGTAAGGATCAAGATTTTAAGCATTAAGCTGACAAGAAATTAAGTAAGTAACCAATAAAGTAAGTAAATTAAGCAAGCAAATAAAAGATGAAGACAGTGACCACTCACTCAATAAATCGATCGATCCATTGACGGCTTCGTCGAGACAAAGACGATGATAGCCGGTCCTGCCCAAACTCAATACATCGATCGAGCTCACTGTGACCCAATTCTCGTACTTGTGGCTTCCTGCCGTGTCGTGTCACCTAATGCGTCGCTGACTGTATCTTCTAAACGGCTTCGTCTCAAGAATGAAAACAAGAACAAAGGGAGAAGATGTTCTGTTTGGCTCCGCTCGGAACTATCATCAGGCTGTGCCCCTCCTCCTCTCCCTTCTCTTTCTGTAACTGCACAAGCGTGCGTGTGCGTGCGTAATGTGGTCTGGATTCAATGCACCTGCGCCCTAGTTGCCCATTGCACAAGGCAGGAGACATGGGCGTAGGAACGACGGTCACGTGACCCTCGAAGCACCTTCCACCGAGCTGGCAATACCAGACTGCGGAGACTTGCACGCGTAGGCAGCGTCGTCTCAACAGATTGTCCCTACCGGCACGACTTCCCGCGCTGTCACAACAAAGGCTTCTTCGGCCTACGGCGGGCCGTGCTTCCGCATAAGAGTGTATCTTCTCCCTTTTTGAAGTCTGTCAACACGTCACCATTATCTAACATGAAATTTACATGCAGTGACCGCCGTGACCGTCCTCTGATGACTTGTCTCTCAAAGTAGCCCTCCTACCGTGCGAATCAATCATCGCCCTGCGAAGTCGATCGTACGGGGAAGAGGAAAGAAGCGGACTCGGCATGGCTGATCTCGTCATGGAATTCAGAGAGACTGGTGGCCCTTTGAGGATCATTAGGTCCCTGGACGAGAATCAACATGCAGGGAGTGAGAAATTAGCCATCAATAACACTTTTCTCCGCCGCTGGATGACTCTCGCTGCGATGAAGACCACGGCAAAGTTGTACACCCGGATAGGCTGCTGTTTTCGAATCACACCGACAAACCAGGGCCAACAGTTCACCTGAACGAAGGGGCAACAGCCGCATTTGTCGCCCAGAATACATCCATTCCGGTGCCAAAGATCTGTTGTTCTTTCCTCCACGAGAACCGCGCTTACATCGTGATGGAGAGGATTCGAGGGGATAACCTGCCGAGAGTGTGGCCCATGTCGTGCAAGAAGCCCAGATTCGAACAGTTTCGCCGCAGAATCCTTGACCAGCTGAAGAGCATGATACAAGAGTTGCGCCGGCGGATCATTATGCGACCCTTTCAATCCCATCTCTCGTCCTCGTTTCGGTCCATTCAAAACGATACAAGAGCTACACCATTGGCTGAGGGAAGGATTTAGCCTCGCACAAGCAGAAATGCTAGGAGACAACCCAGGATTTCAAGAGATTCGAGAAATGATAGTTGGCCAGGACAAGTCATGGCCACCGCCAGTATTCACCCACGGTGACCTGAATCCATTCAACATCATGCTCCGAGGAGATCGAGTCGTTGGCCTGATCGACTGGGAATGTGCCGGATGGTACCCATATTACTGGGAGTATACCGCGGTATGGCTCGGTAGTGCGGCGAGGACAAGCTGGCGGGATGATGTTGATTCGTTCCTTGAGCCCTTCCCCGACGAGCTGAAGATGGAGACTACGCCTCAGAGATGGTGGGGAGAATTCTTAGTGAGTGAGCGGTTTCAGATAGAGAGCAAGCTGAGACAAATCGAGCTGGAAATGAGCGTGATCTCATAGAATCAAACTATGAACCTGAACCCCCTCCTCCTTCACCGCTTCAGTGTTGTCAGGATAACAAAGTGAACAATTGTCTCGGTCCTCCCTAAGCGACCGTTTCTTTGTCCTTCAACATGTCCCAGGTCGGCTTCGGCTTGTCCATCGAATGTCCAGCATCAAAGCGACCCTGAGCTGTTTTTTCTCCTGCGTAATGTCTTGCTACCTTTTGAATTCGCTTCCAATCGAGCACTGCAGTTCCTAGGGCCTGGCCATCCCTCTCAAGAGCCGCGAGGACGTCAGCGCACCAGGTGCAGCATCTCCACATCCGATCATTCTGCACCAGAGGGACATTTCGAATCGTGTCGAGAAGGCGTTCCATGTCGACGACTTTCCCAATGACCACGCGGATCAGGAGGTTGCTTGTGGTTCGAACATTGCATAACTTCAACTCTTCGTACGTCCACACGACGGCGCGCCCATGAGGAGTGGGTTTCGGGACGTTCTTGACGTGACAGCGGACGCCTGGAACCTCCCGAGCGGACTTTTCTTTCTTGGGTCCGATCAAAAAAGCCCAATGATACCTAACGCGAACAGTAAGTCCTTTGGAGGCTGGAGGAAGAGGGGTGAGGGAAGGGACTGTGCCTGTGCCATTACTTTTGTTCCTCATTGTTCACGATGCCACTGGGGTAGAGGGCGATAAAAAGGATAGGCTTGTTGCCTGGAATCTTCTTTTTTCTTTTTCCGCACAGAATGTGTTGCATATCAAGACTTGGTTCAGCTATGGAAGATCTCAGCACTTGCACGGGACGGAAGAGGGAGACGGTGGTTGTTTTGAGGTGCTCAGTCTAGGAGGCAACGCAGCTCCTGTTTGCGGCTGTCCGACCATATCGGTGCCCACGTCCTTGTACCACCAGGGTAGGGTGGCACAAGAACCGTGGCCGCTCATTGTGCTAAACGGTTGACTTTGCTAACAAAGTAACACAGGGGCCACGGACCCCTGTCCACCCCTTTTTGTCTAAATCTCCAGGCAAGTTCGCGGGACATTGAATCCGATTCGCCTATTCGTGTCCGTTGTGATGATGGCGGTGACACTGCTTCCGCCAGAGGTGCCTGGAAGGTTTAACGGTGGTCTGGACGGCTCTGGTGCCCATTTAATGAACGTGTCTTGTTAGCCCCTTTTGCTTGTGCCGATCCAGGTAGTTCAACTGGTCACAACGTGCCCTTCTTGTCTTACTCCACACGCTCTAAATTTGGCTATAATCGCCCTTGACGAGCGTCTTTTCATTGACGGATACAGTCTCCCATCCCTTCTGCCTCGAAATCCTCACAAGGATAGGCGGACTGCGGAAACGCAAGAATAGTGGTGTGAAGGGAGCTGCTGGTATGTCTAGCGCCCGTCACAGTCTCGAAGGGAAGAGCAGGACTGTTTAGAAGCCCTTCGGCATCCAAAAACTCGGCAAATCCGTGGCTGAAGACTCAGTGGCACCCACATAACTCGCTTTGAAACTCCGCAGCCTGAGTTGGCAACCACGTCTCTTTTTGGTGCCAATTGAGGTTCACCACAAGCCACCCTCTCCCCGAGTCCTCCCTGGCCCCCACATGTGCAGGCACGCAGACAGGCATACACCAGAGCCCAGGCTCGACCGCTCTGCCGTGTTACTCTTGTGAATCAATCGAACAAAGCTCACCAATACAATGCATCAGCCCCAGACCAACTGCATCTTGCCACAGTGGTCCTTCGGCCATGGGTCGTGCAATTCCTCTAACCGACCGGCTTCGGAGGCTCTCAGAGGACAACGACTCGGCCTACCTTGGGGTTTTTCGCACCATAGTCAGATACGGATTCTCGGCCACCAGGCCCGCGGGCAGTCGATTGCTGGGATAGGCACAAGAAATTGGCGTTAAACTAACAAAATATAGCCCGCAGGCGGCACCTCTCCGCCGGGATCATGCACCATCTACCACGGAAATCACAATGGGTTTTGAGTTCAGACAAATGGAAAGACAAATCTGAATGCTGGGCACCTCAGCTCACCTGCCAAAGCGCCGATGCGCGGGAATGGAGTCACTTTTCCAAGTGCTGAATGCTTGCACAATGGAAAGGACCAAGGTCATCGACACCATATGACTCCATCAGCATCGCGAGGGCACTCTTAATACAGCGAGACTCCATCGATAATACCATGCTTCATTCGCATCACGATGTCGCCAACGCACCTAGTGAGATCTCTATTCTGACAAGGAAACCACAATCCCACCACCAAGCGCATTAGCATCACTGATACAAAATCGTCCCGATCCAGGTGTAGGGAAATCGCTGCAGGCTCGCCTTTGTTCAGAGGATGGTACTTCTCAGCTATAGTTACTGATGATCACGAGCAACTGTCACTCTTCCATTCAGTGCAGACAAGCAACTACAATGGCTGCTCGACGAGGCCGAACCAACGCTGTCTCTGTTGATGTTCAACGTAAGCTGGCAACGGCATGTTACGAAAATTTGTCGAACCACCTGTCAATAGTCTTATTGAGTCTATTAGAAGCTAGTTGCCGAACGGAACAATGGAATCGAGGCCTTGAGCCTGACTGTCAAGTTTCTTAAACGTTTTAGCAACGTATCCAGTGAGATTCCCACGTCCGGAAGATCGAGAACTCTGTCTGACTCCTAGCCACGTGCGAACTACGTACTGAAGGCACATGAAGATCAGAATAGGCTCGAGAGAAGGAGAGGATCCAAGCCGAGAGAAGCGGAAGGGTGAGGGCATCCGAAGAGACTGTTTCGTCGCGTTGGTAATTGGGTCATGGTCGATGGCGCGCGCCACCTTTGGAGGATCACTGTCCTGCCGAGCTCCAAGCTATGTAAGAACTCACCTTCAGACTGGGGGCAATAGGTACTTGGGGAGGGGACAATTATGCATATCCAGTCAGTCTATCATGTGATATAATGACAGTTGACGGCGTTATATCACGTCATCAACATTGGTCGGCGACTACAACTTTCCTTTCCTTTCTCTCTGCTGAATCAATCGTGTCGGCTGGCTTCCCTATTATTGGCACCAAGCTGATGTACTCTAGCCGTCAGGGTTAGCTACTAGGATGCAGGATTTGTTTGACGGGGAGGCACGAGGAGGCCCTGAGTGCTGCGGCGTTCCCCCTGTATTGGAGTGGCTGGGTGTGGGGAACGATGCTATTCAAACCCTGTTATGGCTAGAGCTCTGCTGCGGCATAATCAACTCTCAAAGCAACGTCGATGCAACGTCTGAAGGCAAGGACCAGGGCGTCGGCGTCGAACGTCCAATTGACGCCGACCTTGCAACTATTCTTGGTATCGGACCCTGGACGCCAATTCACGCCACAGAGTCAAGGCCACGCTCATCACTCAGAAGGCAAACGTACCCTAGAATTGCAAAGCCCCGGAGTGCAATCACCGCTCGCACGACATCGTACCCTGGGCTCCGACCCATGCTCCAGAGCCAGTGTGGATCACAGCATGCCCCTTACCGGTTGCAAGGCGTCGACAGCCTCCCTAAACTCAAGGGGGACACAAGGCAACGAGTGGGTGTCTCCCTCCTGCTCAAATGAGGCATTGAAACTTTTATTCTTCTTTCCCAAAAAAAGGTTCCTTGCGGACTCTTTTTCCGGCCTCTTTCTCCTTCAATTTTGGCCATCTACCGCTCAATTCAGCCTTGTCGAGTGCTCAGTGGACGAAGCTCCTGTCCCGATCCCCCCACTGCGCTCCAACAGCCCAAGCTTGCGGACCTTGGCCGCCCGACAAACAAAGACCAGGATAAGGACACGCAGATTCAGGTTCACGGCTCCACAGAAGCTCGCGCTTGAGGCCGAGTACAAGAAAGGCAAGGACCCGGATCAGGCTAGACGGATCAAGTTGTCCAGTGAGCACCATTTCTAATTGGTTTTTATAAGCAGTAAAGCATTTGCGACGGCCCGAACACATATCAAATCCTCCGTTCCTGGTCAAACTCGTCTATAGACGTGTAAGACAAAGGAATCTCGCGTACGAGCATGGGCCAGAAAGAAACCAAGAGACAGTCCAGGATCCTATAGCAGAAAAGTATCAAGAGACGGACGAGAAACCGGCGAGACATATCGATACACTGGCGCAAATACAGAACCAACCAGCCCTGTCCAGTCGCTGCCATGTCTGTCACAGCCAGACTCACTACCCACCGCGGCGAACGATTTGAATTCCGCCCCGACTGACAAGAAGGCGAATATGGAACCCTACTTCTGATCTTCTGGGATCACGAAGCGCAGAGAGACGGTAAGTGGACCGCTCCCCCTAGCTTCTTGTCTTTGCGAGGTGCTAGGATCACCTATGTTTCCAAGCAGCAGTGCTGTTCTCCGTTTTGCTAACATAAAACTCCGTCTCTCTAGCTACGTCGACGTCAGCCTGGTCCTGATGGTCGAGCTCGCGCAAGTTATGAGCAGATTCGTGCCGTCCAGGTCACCACCCTCGTTTCCAGACGCTTCTTATGTCGGCCACGTTGCCCAAGGCATGGGGAGGAGCCAACACACCGACATCCCTGCGACCATTGCCGCCCAAACCTGTGGTGCTGCCTGCCACGACCGCAGAGATCGCGTGTCAGAAACGTCGGGTTTCGCCCAACACGGCGTGCCGAGCGTGTATGGTCCGGGTCTTGCGTTGCCGGCGGCCACGGAGGACTTCCTCCCGAATCACCTCTGGAGACGGCAATGGCACGAGCGAGACCGGGAATATCAATGAGTTCAGACCCTTGGAGACCGCATTCCTGGGCCTTCATGAGCCTGTGGCTGTGGAACCACAGCTGCTAATTGCAGAGGGCGACCGCACACACGAACCCGCCACCACAACCACCACCTGCTACTCGTGAGTAACCTTTGTTCACTCGCTCAACCCTTTTTTTCAGGGCCATAACCAGTGATGGGAAGCAAACGGGGCGGGGGTCAGGGTCATGCAATGGCATTGACTGGGAGAGCTTTGGGTATCATGATGTGAATTCACGGGGTGTTTATCTGTCTAGGGGCTAACCAAGGAAGGCTTGTTGCTCACATGGGGCTAGTGTATGACTGTTATGGATCTGAAGGGACAATACATTGCATCTCGGCTAATATGGAACGAATACCCCATATAGCACAAGAAGCCCGTTTGCAAAACAATGTCTCCTTGCACCTTTTCTTTCGGATCCCGCTGATTAATGATCCCGAAGAAGGAGAAGACGACGACGCAGTTGCAGCAGCAGCCGGGACGAACAATTAATGCATCAGTCGACGCGTCCGACAAACCCAGACTGTGCAAATTCGCACACTTTCCTGGGGTCTGATGAGCGTGTCTTCGTGCCGTTCGCACTACACCGTTTGCGGTGAGCTGAAAGCGCCTCTTTGTTCGACAGGGCTCCTGTTTTCGGTCGACGCAGAAGGGCGGCACCACGTCCCTTCGGTTGGCGAGGAATATCTTGCGCTTCGAGAATGATAGATCAGCAAGGGCTCTGCCGTCATCAATACGCGAGATCTGGGAAGACCGCAGTCAGGTCTAGAGAGCAGGGTCATCGCCGCAGTGACATGATGGCCTGGCTATCCATATCTGATCCCGGGCATCACGCCGTTCTTGTCTCACTCTCCCACCGTCCCAGGGGCTCTTCTTCCGCAGCTTCAGTCGGGACCGCGGCTTTTTCCGCCAACTGATGGTTAAGAATCCGACGTACCTGGCGACTCTAGTTGTATCTCCGGCTCGAGAAATGATGTGACCTACACGAGTGCACGACGTACTCCTGCTCCACCTCACGGCCGGCTTCCACGTCACATTCCTAGGCCACGATGACGGCGTTCGCGAACTTACATCTGGTGGCGTCTTCATGTTCGACAAGACCATCACTCTCGCCAGGGTTCAAGACCAATGTCGTTAACACATGACGAGTTTCGTGCGCTCCTATACCCGGGATCGAGGGAGAGCAGGCAAGGAAACCAGCAGATTGATCGTGCCGCAGACAAAATTCCGACTGGAGACTTGCCGTCGCTGAAAATATGCTACTACACCTCCAGATCCAAGAACCTTTTTTACGGCAGCAAAGAATCTCGCTCGGGAGCTGGTTTGAGCCGCCGAAGACATTGTGAAGGAACCTGAGCCCCTTGTGGCCTGAGGACATGCGCCTTGTGCTGCAACTCTCGCACAATGTCAAATCATTTTCCCGAAAATAAAAAGAGAAACGGGGTGGGACGAAGTGAGGGACTACTACGATATTACCCCGAAGATATGACCAAGTCTGCCGCGCCGCCTCCATTCTACCTTTCAAGCCCATGCTACCGGCGGCAATCTGCTAGTCCCCAAACAAACAGACCTTTCAATGGAACTACTCCAGCATGCCGAAGCTGCTCTTTTCGAAAAGTATCGGAAAGCAGGGATGGGTTGTTCGGTCAGCAGCGTGCGCCACAGCGTCACATCTTAAGCTCTTCACTGGACTCCAGGACATGCTCCGGACCCATGCTGATGGAGCTATTTTGTTGGCCTTGTAGCACCACCAGCCGACGGAAAAAGGATTCCATCCGGGGATATTCGAAATATCTGCTGACAATGTCAGCCACTCTGTCCGTCTGTCCTGCATTCTCTCCTGGTTGTGAGTCTAGTCAGGAGTTTTGAGTGTGAGAATCCGTCACTCTCTCCCCTCCTGTCTACTCAGAAATGGCCCAACGCAATAGAAACGCCAGTGAAACAGTCGAGTCAATGAGACTCTGGCCCTCTACCTTTAGTATGTCTTTGCACGTTTTACGATGACGGTACATTTTTCCACTCCATATCTCTGGCGTGGGCGTTAATACGATACGACTTAGTCACTGCACATGCACGATCTCGTTGTCGACCAAGTACCCTTTCCAGAGAGTCCTTTATACTATAATTCGTTGACCCAAGCACTATACTTGGCGTGATAGCATTTGCTCCGATTTCAACACTATTCATCCACGATCCGAATCCATTTCAATCACTTGAGTAGTATTCGCTCAAAGCGTCCGCATAACTTCGTCCACGAACGGCACATTGCTTCCTACATCATTCACGTCACCCGGATGAGCCCAGAACACACCGTCCCATGACACCTCACACGTCAGCAGCACCGAATGAACACGTTTCTTCACGCGACGAGACCATCCTCTTCCAACTCGTCGGGTCCGAGCTGTCCCAGCGCCTGTCTTCGTGTCGGGGCATCCGGGTCAAAGTACGGCTTCTCGCCCAACGAAGTCACACGGGTGCCATGGCGCGGCTCTCTTCCTGCATAGTCCCAGCTTGCGTTGTGGATCATGATCCTGTCAGTCGATCGTCAGCGCAAGTGATTTTTCCCCGTCAATCCTCCAAAGGGAGACAGTACCTGTTATCCCAGAGCACGCTCGTGCCGGCGGTCCATTTGATACGGGCCTGGATGTCCACGTTGGTCTCGTAGACGTGGTACAGGTAGTTGAGGATGGCGTCGCTCTCTCCCGGATCCAGTCCGACGATGCGCAGCGTCATCTGCCGGTTCACCCACAGGGCTTTCCATCCGGTGGCCGGGTGGACACGGACCAGCGGGTGGACGCGTTCCACGTACTTGGGCCCCGCGGTCGGGTTGTCTCGGTCCAGGTACGCATGACCGGAGCGGTACACGGCGTACCTGCCGTCGATGATCTCGCGGAACGCGGGCGACAGCTTCTCGTACGCGGCGTACCCGCTGGCGAACAGCGTGTCCCCGCCGACGGTTGGAACGACGTCGTTGTGCAAGTGTGTCACGCCCGCGGGCTGCGGCTCGTGAACGAGGTCCGTGTGCCACGCAGCGGCGCCGCCGGGATTTCGATACGTCACGGACCGTTCCGTGGCCTGCAGGTCGGGCCACAGGACCGTGACGCCAGGCAGTCCCGGCACGATAGGAGCTTGTGGCTAAAAAAAAAAACCCTCCCTTGTTAGCAGCAGCTTATTGCATTGAGCTTGTGTCAAGGAGGGGAGGAAAGGGAAGCGGGAATCCACCGCCGGGCCTTGCGTGACGTACGTGAATCTCGATCTTCCCATACCACTCCCCGAGCTTGAGCTGTTCCTGAGGCGACAGGTCCTGGTTCGGGAACACGACGACGCCGCGCTCGGCAATCAACAAGCCCAACTCGTCCTTTTGCTGCGCCGTCAGGTCCTTGAGCTGCAGCCCGTCGACCTGCGTGCCCACGTACGCCGTGAAGTCGGTGACCTTGGACGCGGCGGAGAACAGGGCCTTCTTGGACTTGTCTGCCCGCGCCCCGGGCTCGACGTGGTCCCACGGCTCGGACCGGATCTTGTACACGTCGTCCAAGTACAAGGGCGCCGCGGGGCGGTAGGGGTAGCCTTGCGACAGGTCGACGCCTGCCTTGGTCAGTCGCTTCACGGCTGCTTCGGGCAGGCCGAGCGTGTCTTTCCGGGGGGCAACGACATCGCGGATTTCTGGGAACAGGGGTATCGCGGCGGAGGCCATTGTTGTTACCACTATTGTTGCTGGTCCTGGTGCTGGTGGTGTTAATGCCGGTCTTATCGCCAATCCTTCCTATGGTCAGGCGCGTTGACTGTCTGGATGGTTCTGGATCGAACTTGGTCAAGCCAAAGGAGACACCAGTCAAGTTATATAAAACCAGCATCCTGATATCACCACATATACGATGCTCATGTCTCGGCGCCGAGCGGACGGGTTGACAGTTGTAGTCCATGTTTGGTCCGTTTCATGCCCGGACGGACGCCGATGACGACATCTGGCACAGAATGGCGTCTCTCCAAATCCGCATTGGGTTCCGAGGATACAGAGAAGCATTCACACCATCAGCGCCAATCCGCCTTGTGTGTGTGCGGTTCAACCAAGGCCGCCGATGGCTTGTTTGCGACCCGAGGTTCATTCGGAACCAGTCCAATCCATTAGAACTTCAGGCGTCTGTGACGGAGTAATCCACCGAGAGCATTTTGGGTCTGACTCCAGAGCTCATCCGCCGTGGCTCATGCGGGCTTGTTACGGACCTGATGCCTTGCTTGGCACTAGCACGTGCCCTTATCAGATAAGATTGCTTGGCATTATCACGTGCTGTCTGACGACAGCCAAGGCTTGGCACCACCCATCACCTTAGTCATCCGCACTGGGTGGTGGCCACTTTGTTAGGGAAATTTAGCCGGTGACCACACGTGAGCGGCCATGTTATTTTGACGAATCCCCGGCGCTGTTAGCTTATCAATCAATCAACTCATGAACACACTTTCCGCATGCAAAGAACCTCAACCTTTCGAGGTGAGTCCTTGATACTGCAATGTCATCCATTCGATGCCTGCTGAGGCTGCCTTATGACACCGATAATATCTGCGCCTGTGTTACCGGCGACAATGTCTGTGTCCATGCCCCTGATTCTCCCTGTGGCTTGTCCTCCGTCACCTGCAGGAAGGCAAACTTCTCCTGCATCGACTCGTACGCCGCAATCCACTCTTGCGTGTGTCCGCGCATGTGCTCCGTCCCCGTCACGCCCGCGTCCTTGTTCATCCACTCGACCAACCTCGCGACGTAATCCTGCTCGGCGCCTCTCTTTCTGAGGCTGTGGAAGTCCCGGCCCGTCCCTCTCTGCGCGAGGCGATCCTCGTATTCCTTCCGCATCACGTCCTGCGCCGGCAGATACGCTTTGCCCGCAAAGACCCGGGCGACTACCTGCGCTTGGAAGTCGAAGAGGCAAAACGTCGTAACTTGCAGTGGCGTGCCCACAAACGCCATCGTGGGGTCAGGGATGTAGAATATGTCCTGCCAGAGATTGTGCACCATGTCCCCCTCGGCGGTTACCAGCATCTCCCGGCTCGCGTTGGCCGCAGCGGTCGTGTCCGAGTGCAGATGCCGCAGGAACGGATACGATATAATATATCCCGTGGCAACAACCACAATGTCGATTCCTTGCAGGCGTGTGCCGTCGGTCAACGTCACAGCCAGCGGGATCGGCCCTTCTTGTGATGGCTGAAAGTCTGCAGAAGGGAGTTCGAAGGATTGGATCCCCCCGATTCTAAGTGTCCCCTCCGGGAGGAAACTGGTGGGGAGATCGAGGACTCCGCCTGGTGGTTGAAGATGCGATTAGCGAACAAACCACAGCATCGGCGCTACCACCCCGAAGTCACCCTATCACTCACCTCTCGAGCTCTGATAAATCTTCTTCGCGATAGGAGCCGCCTCCTTTGCAATATCCGACGACGATACCCCCGCCCCGATCAGCAGGATCGTCTTGTCCTTGAACGCAGCAGGTCGCCGGTATCTCTTCGAATGCCACACCCGATCAGGCCACAGACGTTTCCAGGTGCTCAGACCAGGGATATCTGGCACGCGCGGCATACTGTAATGACCCGACGCAATCACGACAGCGTCAAAGTTGTAAGTCGCGTCGGTGAACCTCACACGATCAGACTCTTTCCACAGCGCAGTTGTCTGAAGAACCCACGAGGACCCTTGCTTCCGCACATCGAGAACCCGGGTGTTGTTCTGGATGACCTTGTCCACGCCTGTGGCTCGCGAGATGTCATGGATATGACGCTCCACGACGTCATGCGACAGGTGGTCCGACGTACCCGCAGGATAGCTCATCAGCGAAGTCTGCATCAGCGGGATTGGGATGTTATTCATTAACCCGGCATAACAGGGCCCTGGCGGGGCGTGCGAGATTTCCCCCAGCGCCGCATTGTGTCCCTGGTCCACCTCTTCTGACGTCGCTGCCACGTCTGTCGATTGCGGCCCAAACAAAGAGTCTCCATCGGACGGTTTGAGGTTGGGAAATGGTGGATCGGGCGCGCTTCGTTCGTCAAAGTGCCATACACCTCCTGAGGTGCTGGATCGCTCAAATACCGTCACCTCGAGACCATGTTTGAGAAGGTGCGCAGCCGTCGCAACACCACTGATGCCGGCGCCAATCACGGCGACACGGTTGGTCTCTGTCGGTCGCTTCATGTGCTGTTCGCGCGCAAGGCTGTTTCTGAGCAGTTGATCGCCTCCTCGTGGGTGTCTAGTGGCTCCTCGTCTTGGGAAATGGCTCTGTGTGTCAATTCTCTTGCATTGCGAGAAAGGCTCGATGAGCGTGTCGTCGAGCGCGTCATGCCTGTGACTGTTATGGGTTCGCCTTCACTATTGCGATGCCAAGGGACTCCCTATGCCGGTGTCAGCACGCCATCAGTATTGCAATGTCGCGACGGGCATGGCGTCTAGAGCGTTCATCATCGTCCGTCCGGTCGTCCGTTTGGCTGTCCGTGTCCGCTGCGCGATGCGGTGATGGCCCCTTGGCAAGCGCAAGTCTCTCTCTTCCAACTATGTGGACAGTGGTCAATTTGCAGTAATACAATTGCACAGCACGTACAACTCCGCAAATCTACAAAGCTTTATCCTGTGGTCGCAGGTTAGTCGTTATCTAGCCGTCAGATGTCGCCATATGTCGCCATCATTGGCACCACTGGACCCACCTCCGGCGACCGCTACTTTCATTGGCTGTTATACCGCACCAAGCCCTCTTCTTTCCTGTTGAGGGTTAATTGAGTATCTTCGCACGTGCTGGGATTGGGACGATAGTGAGTGGGGCACGTGAGTGTCCTGCCGGCTGCATGAGCGTGTACGAGTCGTAATGACGGAGGCTATCAGAAGCCCATGTCGGCAGATTCCGGCATCGGTGCCGAGTCCAACGCAGTTCCGTTAGTGCGCCATGGTTTGGCCGAATAAAACGGTCGAGTCTTGTTTGTTTCGGTCTAACTGCATTGATGGTGACAAAAAAAGTGAAATGTCGCCATTCAACATACAGCGAAGGCGAGTATATTAACACAATCAATGTGCGACATTTGCGGAGGGACACATTTCTTTGGCAGTCTTGTTCGCTGGCAGGTCGATATCACTGAGAAAGTGATCGTGTTCAGTCTGAAATCATTCCTGATACTGTGACGTCCAAGCCTCCCGACAGAAGCGACATGGCCAACAAGGCTGAGTCCCTGACGATAGACCCAAAGCCTAATCAAGGGCCCGGCGCTACCGTTTTCGTCACAAAGTCAATCCTGACCACTTCGGACGAAGCAGATGCAGATGCGGCCACCAAACATACCAAGTCCCGCCCTTGGCACTCGGTCCTCCGCTATGTCTGGGATGATCCCGGCAAGTCCAAGGAAGAAAAGTGGTTCCTTCTCAAGCTTGACCTATGCCTCCTCTCCATATCTTGCCTTGGCTATTTCAGTAAGAGTCTTGATCAAGCCAATATCAACAACGCCTATGTGTCTGGCATGAAGGAAGCGCTCCACATGGACGGCAGTGAGTTGACGTATGCCTCCAATGTCTTCACCGCCGGCTATGTCCTGGGTCAGCTCCCTGCCGTTATACTTGCCCGACATGTGCGGCCGTCGATCCTGCTTCCCACCATGGAACTCTTGTGGACCGTCTTTACGTTCTGTATGTCGGCCGTCACGACGACTTCGCAGATGTATGGCCTGCGCTTTCTCCTTGCCGTCTGCGAAGGCACCTACTTTCCGAGCGTCGTCTACATCATCGGGTCTTGGTACACCAAACGCGAACTCGCCAAACGCATGACCATCTTCTATGCCACCGCACCCATTGCTGCCATGTTCAGCGGGTACCTACAAGCCGGCGCGTACAAGGGCTTGAACGGCAGGCTCGGCCATTCGGGTTGGCAATGGCTGTTTATCATCTGCGGTGTCGTCAGTCTCCCCATCGCGCTGATCGGGTACGTGTTATTCCCAGACTTCCCCGAGACGACACGGGCCATCTACCTGACGGAGCGTGAGCGGGAACTGGCGCGGGCGAGGATGCTCAACGAGGGCATGAAACCGCTGGGCGCCTCGGCCTGGGACCGCACCAAGATCTTCAAGCTGGCCAAGCAGTGGCAGTTCTGGCTCCTGCCGCTGGGCTATTTCTTTGTCCAGACCGGCTTTCCCGTGCAGCAGCCGGCATTTGCCCTTTGGCTGAAGTCGACCAATCACACCGTCTACGAAATCAACGTCTGGACGACCGGCCAGTTCGCCGTCGCCGCCGTTTCGCAAGTCGTGGCCGGTATGCTCTCGGACTCGCCCCTCTTCCAGGGCCGGCGGCGGCAGTCGCTGCTGCTGCTCCAGGTCCCCTGCTTGATCGGCTCCATCATCATCGCCGTGTGGGACGTGCCCGACGGCGCCAAATTCACCGGCTACTACCTGTGCTTTACGGCCATGGGCGTGCCGGGCATCTACTTTTCCTGGTTCTCCAGCCTGATCCCGCACGACCACGAGTTCCGCGGCTTCGTCATTGCCACGTCCAACATGTTCAGCTACATCATGGGCATCTGGTGGAGCTTGACCGTGTGGCGGACCGTGCTGGCGCCCAAGTTCCACGCGGCGTTTATCGCGTCGTCGTGTCTGGGCTGTGCGCTGATCGCGCTGGCCTTTGTCATTCGCGTGCTCGAGAAGCGTGATCAAAGGAAACGTGCCGCCGCTGCCGCTCTCGACGCG